ACGATCCTGCTGAATGAGCAAATTGTAGCCCTATTTGCCGCTTCACGTGGTCAGGTATCAACTTGTTAACGAGCTCAGGAGATGCTCCAGCTAACTGTAAACAGGGAGAATTACAATGTAGTTGTCCATCATTTGTGTAACTTGGATGTTTATCAGGACCACAAAAAAGAACACACTGCATATATATTTCAATGCATTGCTAAAGCTAAGAAAATGGACTGCTGTATATGGACCTCTCTCAGGCTTCTAGTTTCTTTTCAACTTAATGAAAAATAGTATTAATTTCATTCCTAGTATTGAAATTGTCTGAACAAATAATTTACTGCCAGAGCACAAATATGACAGATATTTTAAGGACTTACTTCCTGCTTGAAGTTAAATAGAGGGGGAAATGGACGACCATTTGGCAGGCGAGCATTGGGTTCTCGAAGTTCATCAAAGAAAGGATGTGCACATGCTTCAAGCTGCATAACAAAAATAGATTCCTCTTAAATTGCTTTGCTAGTTTTTCTAGGGAACATTCATTGGTTGATCAAATTCAAGAGAAATATAGGCTGATGCACAAAATGATATACTAAATTAGTTAGAATACAGGAAGGAGGGGAAGCCGACCACACTTACCGCAGTGCACCGGAGACTTGGGGAGTATTGCAAAAGTCGGGATGCAAGATCAATAGCTTCTGGGGGCATCTTTTTGTGGAATATCTACACACAACTTTGATGTGTTAGAACGACCAGGAACATTTTCAGGTTAACGACATATTGATCTTCCAAAAAAACCATCTGAAAGGAGATAAAAATTATAGACCTTGTGCCATGGGTGTGCCTTTATCTGTGGAAACCTAAAGTCATTGTAATTGGGATTCATACAGCGTACTTCCTCTCGTGTGGGTGTGCCAAGCACCTGCAATACAAAATTTTATAAGGGTGACTCCTAATGACAAGGATGGCATGACTAAGGAATATACAATACACGTTAACACTAATTGCACCTTTATAATATGAACGAGCTGGTCTACTGCATTTTCACCAGGGAATAATGGCTGCAAAAGTTCAAAATTTTTCAGATAACCCATAGGTGGCAGATAATCAAGAGAACAATTATATCATTTTTGTGGTAAATTTATATAATAATTAATAAAAACAAATCAATGACACAAACCTGGCCCAAAAGAAGTTCAGCAAGGACACAGCCAGCTGACCAAATATCAATTGAACTTGTATACTCAGTGGCACCAAATATAAGTTCCGGAGCTCGATAGAATCGTGAACATATGTATGATATATTAGCTTCGCCTTTAACCTGATGAAACAAAATTGAAGGTTATTAAATAATCCTGGATAGTGTATTAGTAGTCTCACACTCACTAAAACATAAGAAAGCATAGAAAAAACAACAAAAAACTCAAAAAAAAAAAAATATCAAATTCTGCTGTTTTCCACACAAAATATTTGAAAATATTTAATATGGTATCATAGAAATATAAAAAATACGAAATCCCTGTAGCTTGTTGTTGAGCAGACCAAGACATCAACACAAGAGACTAAAATCAAAGCAATGTAAAAATTGAACCTTCATCTAAACTGGCAAAACTTTATGGCGATTGATAGGTTATTGGTTTACATAATGAGTAATTATTTTGTCAATATAAAAGATAATGGTGCCTGGAAAAGATGGGCAAGAAATAAAGTATATCAAAGCAAAATTAGGAGGTCTACATACTAGAACTTTTGCACTTCCAAAATCACATAGCTTCACTTGATGTGTAAGAGGATCCACCTGGAATATAAACAGTGACATCAAATCCGGAAATAATTATTACTTTTAAGGTTATATATATATATATATATATATATATATATATAGAGAGAGAGAGAGAGAGAGAGTATCAAGTGAGAGGAACGAACCTCAACCATATAATTCAAATAAGTGGTTAAGATAAAAACTAATTAAAACAATCTTAACCACCAATGTATGATTGTATAGACAAAATTAAGTCCTCTCAATATATATATATATGAGGAAGCAATTTTATGTGAGGATGAGATTTGAATTTGAGTCATACAACCATACATAAATGATTAAGATTAGGGGTTTTTTAAAGTCACATGACCACTTAAAGTCATTTAACTTGATTAAAAACCCAGATTAATTGTGTTTAAATCTTAACCATTCATGACAAAATCTAATGGTCAACATTTATTTCTGTCACTCTTGCATTAAAAAAAGGCCTCTCACTAGATATATCCCCATATAAATATATTCAACAGCATATAAACAAACCAGTATATTTTGAGGCTTCAAATCTCTGTGGCAAACTTTGGGAACAGTGTGGATATAAGCCAACCCCCTGAAAATCTGCACGCATGCCACAAACTTTTATCAGACATCGAGCAAATAAATCAGATATATTTATGAATCACTAAAGAGTATGAGGCATACCTGGTACATATAAAGTTTTACATAGATGATTGGCATTCTTTGATTAGCATTGCTATAGTGCTTTAAGACTCTATACATGGACTCTGGAACATACTCCATCACCAAATTAAGAAAAAGTTCATCTGTACTTGTAGTAGAAAAGAAACAATGCTTTAGAGAGATCACATTTGGATGATCCATAACACGCATTAACTGCAGTTCACGATTCTTGTATCTTCTGTCTTGTAAAACCTTCTTAATTGCCACTGCTTCCCCAGTTTCCAAGCATTTTGCCTAAAGGAAAAAAAAGTTAATAGTGTGCGACAAAATAGGTGGAGACAGAAAGAGTAATGATTCTAGAATTAAGCTATTAACATACCTGGAAAACAATTCCAAATGATCCAGTTCCTACAACTCGTTCTGCCATGTAACTAATAGTCTACAAGAATCATTGTACAAGATATTAAACTTGCAATCCAGGATAAATGTCATATGGCGTTTTCAACAACCCAGAAAATAATTCAAAATAAGAGTAATTTTATCTGCAGAATGGAATTTACAAACATAATACCTGTTTGGGTTCCCCATTTTTCCCTCCAATAGTTGTAGAAATGATGTGACCAGTGAGGGAATCATTGCCATTGATAACAGAGGTAGACATCTCCTGTTAAAATTGCCATGTTTACAAGGTATAAGGAATATGAGAATTTGAAAATTTTCAAAAAATAATTCAAAATAGATTTTGGTATGGGAAGGAAGCTAAAAGTTGGAAGAATACATTTAGTCTCAGCCTGGATAAACTTCTCAATAAGTACTAATATGAAAAGAAAATACGAAAGAAAAATGAATTAAATTCCTCCCATGAGTCAAAATCAACCCATACACTTCAACTTATACAGATGTCTATCATTAGACTTCACCAAAAAAGCTAATTTTAGCTTATTAATAAGTTAATTTTAACTTATGAGAGAAATTAAATTCATTTTACTTTCTTACATTCTTCTTATATGAGTGCTAATAAACAAATTTATCCTAACAGAGCCTTAACCAACAGGCACACATTAAAAACACTTGAGTATATAGATTATGGGATCAACAAAATGCAAAATTAAAACATCACATTTCAACAGCACATTTAATAACTCAAAAGTTTAAGTTTCATAAAACATATAGCATGGGGGAAAAATCAGGCAAGAAACAAGGATATCTAGTGGTGGAAATAAGCTGCCAAAAAAGGTAAATACATGGAACCAAGAACTACAGCAGCACCATGTTCAGAGGGCAAATTTCAACTGAAAATGTTTTGAGTAAGAACCGAAGGGACCACAACGTGGTACGTTGCTAAAATAATTTAAAACAAACCAACAACTAGCAGCAGAGTACAAAAACCTGGATAAAAATATCGATCGAAAGCAGAAACCCCAAAACCAACAACGAATCTGATGAATAACCAGCAAACGATCATAAGTTCATGACAAACGAAAAGTCTAAATCGTTCGGAGTCCAACATCAACATAAGATTATAAGAAGAACAATCAGATTAGATACAAGTTCTTCAACCCAGTTCAGAACCTCTCTCCACAAAAAATAAAAAATCAAACTTCACAGAAGCCCATAGATCAGCACGAAAATAAGCTAAATGGGTCTTCTTCGTTAAGCTCAAAAAACCAGATTTTCAGCAAGAAAACCAAATCCCCCAAAAACAAACAAACCCTAACCCCCCTCCCCCCCCAAAATTAACTGAGCAAAAAAAGCAACAGAGAAACAAAAATTACACATCCGATACAACTCTAGCTTCATCCTCCTGACAAGAACAAAAATCACAAAGACGTTTTGAACTTTTCCATTTCCGGGTCACTCAGCTTTCTCACCAACCAAAACAACAAGATTCGAAAAAAAAAAAAAAAAAGGAAAAAGGAAAGTAATTTTGCCGGGAAAGTACCTTATCCTGAGCCATGGCAGAAGGGAGAGGAATCTAAGGAAGAAGAAGAGAATGGTTAGAATAGAGAGAAGATGTGAAGAAAATGGAGGACCCAGCAAGAGAAAGACAAGTCCATGTGATTCCAGCTCTCCTTTCTTTCCTCTGTCTTCTTTTTCTTTTCTTTTTTATTTATTTTTTTGGACTTTTCCCATTTTTCTTGACTAACTTTGCAGGTTAGGAAGACCTCGCTGTTAATCACAATCATTAGGTGTGCTTAACTTAAACCAAATTAATAAATAAAAAAGGTAACCAATAATGATGAATAATCATACTTGTTTTTTCCTTTATCATTTTAACGTCGGCGGAATACTCTCAATCACTGATTCTGCCATATGTGATATCATTGGGTCCATCACCCAGATCATCTTTTTAACATCAAAATTTCTTTACTTTTTTTTTGTCACCCCTATTTCTTTTTGCTGCCATTCCTCAATGTTAAATATCATTTTTTAAATAATATAAAAATTTAAGATAACTATTATGAAAAAAAAAATTGATAACTATAAGTCTTATTATATGATGTTGTATTCAGTGTTGATTGGTGTTTAAAAACTTTGGAATATTAGGATTTTTTTATGAATATGTGTAGGTATTTAAATTTTTTTTTTTTTATGAATATCAGGTGATGGCTATAGAATACGCAAATTAATAAGATGAGTTTTAGACCTTAATATCATGTTACATTTTATCTTAAAATCAATTGACATTAAGTAAAGTTGTCCAATAGATATATGAATCGTATATGAAGAAATGAAATAAACAATGTGGGACTTCCCTACAAAAGTTATAGAGAGAAATGTTTAGGTTCGTAAGTCTTCTTATTCCCTAAACCTTCTTTGGCGAGACGATTTTTCTCCTGAAATATCACCAATGTTGTTTTATTTGTGATTCATATTAGTGGAAAACCTTGAATCATACTATTGATTTTTGCGAAATATTTCAAGGTTACTCTGTAATTTCATTCTTCTTCTCCTTCCTCGTCTCTAATTTGATTTTGAGGTAAGAGAAGTTAGACCGAATTTTGATGATGGTTAATGTTACATTATGTTAGATCTACTTTCAAATTCATGGCTAAGTTGTATTTTGGATGAAATTCTTGTATGAAAAGACTTGAAATGTGTTATATATATTGAGAGAAGAGTTTTGGGTGAATCTGATATATAGTTGATTATATGTTAAAAAATGTGTCGAAGATAAGTTGTTAGTATTGTGTAGATTTGACTTGTAATTTTTTAATATGAATTTTTTCTGATTTTTCACGTACTTCGAGGTGAAAAATAATGAAAAATACATGTTCAAAATATTATGAAATTTTGTTTCACGAGAAATTATCAAATTAGGAGATAATAGCATCTGAAATCGATATTTTTCTACAGTTTTTCTTCATTATTATCTGTTTGTTATATATAACTAGTTGCTTTATTTGTGCAATATACGAATTAATAATTATTTATAAATTTAAATAAAAAATAGATTATCTTTCATCTCCATTTTAAATTTAAACATTTTTTCCTTAGTTGATGATTTTAAATAAAAAATCAGATAGCAAAATCAAAATAATATTAAACTAAATAATAAAATATTTAATTTAATTTTAAAAAATGGTATGTTATTTTATTTTTTTAGTTGATTTAATTCAAAATACTGAAAAATCGATATCAAATCTATTAAAATTAAAATAATTCATAAATTTAATATATTAGCAATGGACTTAAAAATATATAACATAAAAGTTATATTAATCACATTTAAAGAATTTTACTTAAAAATTTATACTATAAATATAAATATCTAAATTAAAAGAAATCATATAATTCAAGAGGTATAAAAGTAAATTACTTTAAAAGTATCCAAATCAATATAAAATTGTCAATATCTAAAATAAAAAATAGGTGCTGATTCAATAAAAATGAAAAATTTGAGAAAAAAATAGAGAATAACATATTGAAGAGATGAAGTGAATAAGATAAATGAAGTCGTGAAATTGAGAAACCAAAAAAGAAAGGTACACTTACAGACTTACAGTGCAGGATAACATTTTAACTTCTCAAGACATAATAATAATAATAATTACATTTCAATGTAAACTTTGAAAATCGAAAGAAGTAATAATGTATTACAGATGCATTCCAATTAATTTAAATTCAAACACTTTAATATTCGGTCGGGTGCGACTTTTAACGGATTATTAGGTTGTATTTAATGCAAAATTTTGTGAAATTATCGAATATTTGTTCTCATGGAACCATTTTTTTTTAACTAAGTATTAAGGTTTTAACAAAGGTGAACAATTTTTGCAAGTTTTGTGAATGCGTGTATCCACTATACTGAGCAATGTGATAACTTTCCTTACCTAACTCTTCAAATATAAGTTTTGTCATGAGTTTAATCTTTAGTTTATGTGTATGAAAAAATATCTATTCAAAAGACATAAATTCTTCAAATATAATTTAGTATCTCAAATTATTAATTGCTGATTTTTTATCTAGAGATACCCTATGTTTGAAAAGACTTAATATGCAATTTGATTTTAGCTTAATACGAGTTTGACTATAATACTATGGTCCTGATTAATTAATTATAGATGAGTTTCACAATTAATCCATTTTTTTTAAGTCTTCGTACAAGAATTATGTCATCACATTTCAATGATAAAAGAATAAAAACTAATTTTATTCTAAGAACAATATTAAAACCTTCATTTGAGATGATTTTTTTAGATTCAAATTTGTTCAAATATAAACAACGTCCTACATCATTCAAACAAGAAGATAGACATAAATTTATATACACATAATTATTTTTATTAGTAAGTCCTGGTGCACAACAAGTTTTCACATAACAGTTGCCAATTCCCGTAGGGAAACTTTTATAATGTGTGCCAAGGCTTGTTAAGAAAGTTTATGAGAGGAGCCAGATTTTTCTCTTCTTAATGATAGTTTCTAGAATTGTTTTAGCTGCAACTGCAACATTTCCAGCACATTACCCGATGAAAAATCTTTTGCTAGTGCAGGTTTAAATTTTCAACGTACTAGCACGAAAAACTTGTAAAATAATGATTATTGTAATGAAAGAGAATAAGCCTTCGTGTTTAACTACGGTATCCTGGTAGTTGATGCTACTTGCTACGTAATCTCAAAGAATATTGTTATGAATAAGGCTGGAATTTACATTTTATTTAAGATAAAGTATATATGTCGAAAGTTTAGACGTTTGGTAAATTCGTTGAACTAAACAATAATTATTCCAAAAATCGTTATAACGATTAAGATATATAGAAATTAAACTCGTGTTAATAGTAATTTTCAGGGGAAATTCAAAAAAATAAAATAAAATAAAATAAACTCGTGTCGTGTGAAACCTATGATGAATATGTTAATGAAAAAATTCATGAATATGATACAGTGTTATCACTCTTACACGAACAAAATATAAGCCTTATCTGGAAATGATGCTTTTCCTGTTCTAACATGTTTCTCTATGGTTTAACAAGTTTGCTAGCGTGGAGGGAAAAAGCGGTTGAGGTTGAAAGGGAGGGTATAGAACTCTTCATTCCGGCTATCTCCATTAAATGTTCTAAACTTTGCCCACCATGGCATTCCCCTATCTTTCGCACTATCCTTGTAATCAAGAGTATTGTCCAAGAACACAGCAACAATCAATGCAACACTTGGTGATGAGAAGAAGATAGTATTAAGGAAATCATCGAACTGAAAATAACCAAAACCAAACACGAAATTAGTATCATTTTCTTTATCAGAATCACATGTTTTAGATTGCATCACCTTTTAAGGATTTTTATGATATAGGCCATTTCATAAGTAACATGAATGACCCCACCATGAAGAATTCACAATGCATTTTGACCATTTTAACATAGTAAGTAGTAAACATTGCATTTTCATAAGTTTGTGTAGAAGAAACATTAGACTCACCCATCCAGCCCTTGTATGAGTAGGACCATGAAGGGCCTTGGCAGTGTACTCTCTGAAATACTCAGGAACAGAAAAACCCAAGAAAAGGGCAACACCAGTAATAAAGAGGTTCCTCATTGAGTTCATGTTAGTGAACTGCAAGAATGATAGCCCCACAGAAGCTGCAAAAAGAAAATTTGTCACAAAAAGGGAGAGAAAGCAAAGAGATTCTTAAACTAAACCATAGGTCAGACACGGTGATACTCACCCACAAGCCCAAACAGAACACAGTATACAGCTGCAAAAATGGGGAAGGGTATTGATGCAAATAAGGCTCCAAATTTACCTGAAAGAAATATGTGAATTGTGAATTGTGAATTGTGCATTGTAAGTGAAGCTGAAAGCCACTAAAATAAATATGAATTTAATGTCCATGTAGCGATTGTGTAAAAGTTTTTACACAATCAATTAATAAAAAATTACTATTAATATGACTTTCAAGGTAATTATTATAAAAATTAACAAATTTATTATACATAATAACAATGTAAAATTATTTTACATTATCGATGCATAACTTTTTCTATCAATAAATATTGTGAAAGGGCATTAATATTTATTGTTAGTACTAATATGCTCCATAGTTTGGCACTCACCTAACATTGAGAAGAATATCATAAAGCCAGCTGAAATTTGAATAACCCTTCGACTTCCAACACGAGTGCTTCCTAGAAGCCCCACGTTCTCTCTGTCAAGAATGATCCTATGAGATCCAATTTGTGTCCCATAAAAGTGAAAACTATGAACAATGAAGAGTAACACTTACACAGAAACTGTTGAACCAGTGAGTGTTCCAAAAAGGCCATTCAGCAAGATTCCAATTCCTTGCCAACCAATACCACGGCTCAGAACATGAGCTGGTGGTGGTGTTGCACTTGCTAGTCTTGATGCAGCTTTGTATGCCCCAGTAGACTGCCAGATTTTTAAAAAAAATATTAGTCAACATTAATGTTCAATTTCCATTAAAACCATTTTCAGTCAGAGAAATGCTATCAGCAAATCCTATGAACTCTACTCATGAATCACTATTTTATACTAGTTTCTAATAAATTTTAATCAATAATTTAAATGTGTTAAAAGAAGTGAGTTAGAAAATATACACTTGTACTCCTTCAATAAATATGTATAATACCTCAATTAAGGAGACTAAAACAGC